TACTACAATGCAAATGTGAAATTCCTCCTACCACAGCCTCGGCGCGTTCCACAGTGGCGCGCTCGATGGTCGGCTGGACCCTGGCTGCATACACAAAGAGCTCGAGCTTGTAGGTCGCCATCGCGGCTGCACGCTTTTGCTGGACAGACTTCGAAGCAGACGTACACTGAGCAATAAAGTTGACGCTGTCCAGTTCAACGTACTCGGCTTGCTTCTTGGAGACACCCGACTTGAAGTGAATACGCAGCGGGTCTGGTGACCCCATGACCCATTTTTCCTTGGCGGCCATCGCAGACGCATTGCACGCGAGCCGAATGCGCTGGACTTCGAGAGAGATGGCGTCATGGAGACATGAAAAGGGTGACTGCAAGTCCACGTCCATGGTCGCTTGGCCTGCGGTGGTTCTTGACTTGGCGCGACTCCCAAGCTTGACGACCACGATCGCCTGCATCGTGGCTGGCAACGGGAGGACGGGCCGTGGGCGTGACCGAACCATCGTCGGGAAAAGTTGCACACTCGCCGGTTTGTCTGCTAAATTAAGGGCCATGTTTTGTTCTTGTTGAAATGGATAGTCGATTTGAACAGATAATATCTCACAATGGCGAGCTGCAGTGGGCGTAATGCCTTCATTACTGCCAGGACCTCGGGTGACGCGGGTTGCTTAGTAGGAGTCGAGATCTAGAATTCTAGCTCTACGACGGCTCGCAAGATACGCCCCTTCGCGACAAGGTCGTTTCGACTTCCTACGCGCGCAAAACACCCAAATCATCCGTTGGACTAGTTGCTCCTACACAAGACTCGGTCCACCGCGGATCACACTCCTGTCTCTGTCCACCTCGATCATATCCCATCTAGTGTCCCCAATTTGAAACCTATCTTTGTAGCCGGTGGCTCGCGTCGGGCTTTGCAGAGCGCTGGTCTCGGGCACTCGCTGCACCTTCACCGCCGGTGCGTTGTCGGCCTCGCCACGGGCAAAGTACGTCCACGATCAGCGTGTTCTCGCATCTCCAGTTGGACCTCTGCGATGCCGGGCTACTTGCGCTGCTCGTCGTTGTCATGTCGCATTTCGCCCGTCTCGAAAGCGTACAGGATTTGATTCCCCAAGCCGACATGCCCGCGGTGATGCCGTTGTTGCAGCTTCGCCACGTCGCGCCGCTGCGCTCACCCTCGACAGCATGGATGTAGACGTAGATTTAGCAGTGTGTTTGGAGTGCTCTCAACGCTGCCAGCGCTGGACGAGCGAACTCTAACGCGCGGCAGTCTTGAGAGTATGCCGTCAACAATAGAGTATCCCTTGACGCTCCCCGTGTGATGAAAGGACATCCGGTGAGCTGCCCCGCCAGGACTTGATGCATGATAAACTGCTGGTTCACAGGCTTTTGGGCGCGCGGGTTGATCATGTCGGCGTACGGTACGGAGTATATCGAGGACTCGGACAACAAGACACCTAACCCTCCTTTAAACCTAGCCCTAAGAAGGTACCAAGCGGGTAGACGTCGACGGCGGTTGAGTAGTCGTGGCCTGTAAAGATCTCGGGCGCCATCCACTGGTACGTGCCAATGCCGTTCGTAAGGGTCTCTTCGTCCATCTAACGCGACTCGCCAAAGTCCGTGAGTTTGATACCCTAACCACATTTCAACCGTGATGCCAAGCAAGGGTAGAGGGGTTGTTGACCTTCTTGAAATCGAGGGCGTTGCGAAATTTGAGATCGCTGCCGATGATTGGGGTTTCGAATGCGTGGAGGTAGACGAGGCCTTGAACAACGTGCGCGACGTTTGGGAAGGTCTGGAAGCCCTGAAGCATCATTGTGGGAGCTTTTTGCGTCGATCGCGACGGATACCCCCGCGGTCGCTCGACAATTTGCGGAGCAAGTCGCAGACGTCTGAGCGGGGCTAACCAGAGTCTAGTTCAGAGAGTGGTCGTGACAAGCTCTCAAGAGGCAGCGATCCATAAGCGTATCCTAGAGGCACTTGCTATAGACTGATGCCCAAATTAGCCTCGCATCTTGATGACTACAGGCAAAATCGCGTGGCCATGATTGGTTCGGTTCAGAGCCACTTTCGAATGCCAGCGAAGTCCAGACGCGACCTCTCTGTGCATTGCAAATTGCTGCGACCGTCTTGTCATACTAGCACTGGCTTTTGCTGCGCGGGATGATTGTGGTGCCGGACCGTCTCAACCGAGCGCTCTACGACGGCAACCTATCGCTGTGGTGGTTACTCAGCGCTGTGCTCTCACTTTGGTTTACGGTCTACTGCGGCCTCGGCATCCTCCTTGGCGCACTTCCGCCGCCGTCATCCGCGCCCGTCGGCCCAGCATTTGCTCTGCATTTGGTCACGTGTGGATTGATTTCGTGGATTTGTATTTGGAACCTCTTCCATACACCCTCTCACGGTACCAACGATACTAGTGTATTTTTACCCTCCAGCCCGAATGTTTTATGGGCTAGGACCGCTCTACCGTAGTGTGCACAAGGTGCTCGGTCGAGCTGCCATGCTCTCGGGCGCTCTCTCGGCGTCGTCCGGGTTTTACGCGGCATGGGTCGAGCGCTACAACCCAAACAACGTCGGCTTTAGCATTGGGATTTCCATCGGCGGCGCGTACGACACTCTTTCCTCTTTTGATTTTACAAGTTGCCTGTCAACTGACTGGGCTTTGTAGACTGCAATTGGCCGCGCAGGCACTGGGCTGGTACTATGTCCGGCAAAACGATATTCCCAAGCACCAAGTCTTCATGTCGGCCGTCTTCTTTCACGGCTGCTGCATTCCGCTCTGGATGCGCTTTCCCCGTTTCGTACTGGATATGGCGATTCCCGACTGGTGGAACGGCGCCGCGGTCGTCGTCGCCGCTGGCATTGGGCTCCTCGCCCTTCTTGCCCAACGTCACAAGCGCTTTTTGTGAGGACACCATTGCTCATGACCATTGTTGATGTACATAGAGCCGAAGGGTCTAGTTCAATAGACATCTGGATGACACTCAAAGGCAAGCAGAGATGAAGTATAGGAGCTTGTATCGTGTGAAGGAAACCCTTCTGATGCATGCCATGCCTCCGTGCCTAAATGACGCTCAACGGTTAATGCTTGGGCAAAATGATTTCAAAACAGTAAGACACGCAGACGACGCTGTCACTGGCGCAGCTACGCCCGGCAAGCGCGTGAAGGCATCAAAGTTGCTAGTTTCTACAAAGTCTTGTCATCACCGAGATAACGCGAAGCATGTGTATAAAGGCATGAACTATGGTATGCAGCGCGCTCTGTCCGCATCCGCCACGCCCGCTCGTGTCAAACAAACTTGGAGCGTCATTGGTGTCGCATCCCGAGCATACAAGCCGCACATCAAACCATGCAATGGGTCCATCGTCGCGGGATGATGCTCCGTATCCCGAGAGGTCCCGGACGAGCAGCATACCAGCACACCTTATGCGTTGCACGGGCCGTCGTCGTCTGGTGCGACCCCACCCGAGTCTCTGGACGGTCGTGCAGGCGCTCTAGAAGGGATGCGTCGATCCACATCCATCTTGGAGGCAGGTCGCAGTGCCACGGACAAGACACAGGCAGTAGCGCCGGCGTACCCCATCACGAAGCGCGACGTGTGCTTGGTGCTTCGCGGGACCCAGACGTTCGTGCTGTTCGTCGCGCGCAGAAAGCAGCGTCGTCGCGAGGCGCGCTTCGCAGCAGGCATCGTTCAATCGTCATCGTCGTCCCTACAGAGACACGCTCTGGCCGGTCGTCGACGGCAAGAGCCAACCGCATGGCACTGTGACGAGCACGAGCACGGCTTCGGCGTATTGTCGCGAGCCTGCACCATGGTCGCGCGAACCTTGTTGTTCTTGCCGCCAGGAATCTCGACTGGCAGCTCGATCGCAGGTCGACACCACTCACGTCGTGTCTCTGTAAGGACATCCGTGGCGACCTCGACAGGCGGTGACGTGGCGCACTAACGGAGGTCCTTTTTTTCATTCCAGTAGTGCCACATGGCATTACGCGCGCGATGCACCTCGTTTTGATTGGCTACATGTGGCCACGCGGGTCCGTTTCCAGGGAAAGCACCTCCACGCCTGTCCTGTCCAGCGACTTTGCCGTATGGAAAAGGCAAAGTCGATGGCGCCTGGCCATGGCGGCAGCTCTACCACAGGAACACAGACATTCTGTTGTCGCTGGCGGTGGGATAGCACGTAGTTAGTATAGCACCATCGACTATAATCGTGTAGTCGCGAAAGGAGCATGTAGCGACTGTACCGTGTATAGGCCTGTCGATCGTGGGGTAGAAATGACACTTGGTGTCCAGCACGTCGCAGGCGTCACCACAAAGGAAGCACGCTGATTGGCTACGAAAGCAGAAACCCCCTGGCTAATCGCACCCAAGCGTGCGTCACAGAAAAAGGGGCGGGCTGACTCCCGTCCCTTCTCGCCCGACCACGCTATCCCGCGGCCAGTACGCCGCGAGCCGCGCATAGCGGACTCATGGCATCGACAATGTCAAACTGTCTAGTATAGCGTCGCGGGGCAGGACCGAAGTGGCCGACAGCGCGACACGCCTCGCGGTTCGCACCGCGTTGGACTCTGCCACGTCATCGCTACCTATTGCCGATTGGACCGACCCGAAATCCACTGAAAAAAGGCCAAGCAAATAGGAAGAGTGGTCCGATGTTTGCATGACGCACGCTCAAAGTTGAGCATCACCCGATGCTGACTCTGCACCGCCACGTCCATGTCCACGTCGCGACTACCTTTAGCGACGCGTCCTTCGCAGGGCTATACGTGCATTGTCCTCTAGCCTCGCGGCCGTCTTGCTTCATCGCAGGTGGGCGGCGACAGGCCTGGCAATGAGAAAATATAAGGTGGCCAAAGGAGCGTGTTTTTAGACACCCGTTTAAGTGCGTTCGTTGAACGTTCCGCCACGTCACGGGACGGTGTCGAATCCGCACTTAGTCGGGGTGGTAAGTAACTGCAGCCACTTCGTGGGGCCCTTGGCATTTTCATTTCGAGCCGCCAGCCCCGATGAGCACGATGACGGAGGCCAACATTGGCTTGATGAACTCGCTCCTCGGCTACGACGTGGTCGTCGTCTGCTGCTCGACGCCCTTCCAGGCCGCGTACTGGCAGAAGCGCCTCATGGCCACGCGTGGCACCATCTCGCCGCTCGACATGAAGGTCATTACCGTCCACGAAGACTGGGTCGGCGGCGCCGGCAACGGCCTTGGCACGCTCTACGCCTATCAAAAGGCCGTCGCCGAGGGCAAGGCCTTGTATGGCCCGGCGTTCGACCTCACCGAAGAGCTCAAGGCGAGCCGCATCTCGGTCGCGCTCTACCACACGGCGGGCAAGGGCACGCGCCTCGCGCCGCTGCCCGGCTCGGAAAACAACAACAAGCCGGGCGTCAAGCTGCCGGCGATGCTCAAGATTGACGACACGTATGTGCCCATGACGATCCTCGAGGCCGTCATCAAGCAAACGGGTGTGTACGCGGCGTCGCGCCGCGGCCGTCTCTCGGTGTTTTGGGGCGACCAGGTCTTCATCCCGAGCGCCGCCGTGCACTACACGCCCGTGCACCACATTGACATTCTCGCGACGCTTGCGCCGATGCCGAGCGCGCAAGAGTGGCACGACAAGGGCCTTGAAAAGTATGGCCTCATCGCCGTCAACGCCGACAACCAAGCCGCGCAGGTCGACAAGGTGAGCCACGCGACCGCGCTGCGTCTCCTCGCCGACTTTGGCCACCTCAAGAGCGTCGGTACGAGCCTTGGCAGCTTTAGCGTCGACCATGACATGCTCGTCAGCCTCCTCGACGAGTTTGCTCAAGAACTCTCGCAGAAGGAAGGCAAGCTCGACACGGACCCGCACTTTTGGATGCCGTTCACGCTGCCCTTGACGGCGTACGTCGAGGTCATGACGCAGAAGGGCACGTCGGCCGACTTTTCGCGCCGCCACTACGAGCGCATGCAGTCGATGCTGCAGCGCTTTTACAACTCGCGCCGCGAGAAGCTCGGGCTCTTTGGCTGCATTGACGTCGGCAGCGCGGCTTACTGGTGGGACTATGGCCAGCTCAAGCTGTACCTCAAGAACAACTGCCTCGTGACGGAAAGCACCACGGAAGCGTCGTGCCTCCGCAGCTTCCTCGGTATCCAAGACCCGCTGCAGTGGAGCGAGGTCGGGTCGAGTGTCACGACCGACCACGTCGCCGTGCTTGGCTCCAAGGTCTCGACCGGCCGCATCGTGCGCAGTGTGCTCAGCGGCGTCGCGACGGACGCGGTCGACGTCGAAGACTCGATCTTGATCAACGTGACGGCGCGCTCGATCAAGGCCAAGCGCTGTGTCCTCTACAACGTGACGAGCGAAGACGTCAACGGCCTCGAACTCTCGGACGGCACGGTGCTCGTCGGCGTGCTATTGCCGAACGGCGACCGCCTCCTCGTCGAGTCGCATCTGAGTATTTGCGGCGGCGACGCGTGGAAGACGACATTGGACATGAACGTGCACTCGTTTGAGCAGATTTACGTGCTCAACGAAGAAGCCGACGTGGCCGAGATCGAAAAGCTGTGCCAAGACGAACACCTTCGCATTCGCGAGCTTCTGCACCCGACGACGACGACCACCAACGGCAGCACGACGTATTAGGACCACGTATGGGTCCGCCTCGCTAGAGGATCTCGTATATAGGCCACTTATTCGGCAGTAGTAATTAGAAGTATACACATTCCACAACCCTACGTCAGCTGGATGGCATGAGATCCTGGGAGCTACTTGAAGCTATGTTGGCGATCGTGGAGACGCTGAGTGAGCTCTACTAGTAGACCCACAGATACGACGCCGCCTTGCCAGAAACAGCCCGTCTACAAGGTCGAATGCTCGCAACGAGGCGTGCACCGGCATTCTCTACTGTCTGGACGTTTGTAATGCGTTGGACATCTCTATCCGTGATCGAGACTCTTGATGCACAAGGGCGCTAACCGGCGATGCGTGGCAGTGTGAGCGCGACCAGAGCATCCCGGCGAGCGTGGTGGCTTCGGCGGTCACAACACGGCGAGGGTGCTTGGCCCGAGTAGTTAACACCCTCGCTGTCTTGTATGCTACTTGACATCATCCGTCTATGGCACCTAGCCCTACCCTGTCTACACCCAGACTCTAGACTCCTCGCTTCCTGGAGTCCGAACGCTCCAGCGACACACGCTTGCATTGGCCGGGCATGGCTTGACCAAACCAGACACAGCGAACACACAAAGGAGCGTCGAGCTGCCACCAGAGCTTGCGCGTGCCTCGCGGAGTACAAGCTGAACTGTTCGAGCATCCCCAGCAGTCGTTTGTATACTTCAATATAGCAATTTTTTTAAACGGTTTTCCCCACAAGGCGTTTTTCTTTCTAAAAATTTGTAAAAACTCGCCAGTCGTTTTTATCGGCCAGCATTTCCAATCGTTTTACAGGCCCATGCGACGGGCAATGGGCGAATTCTAGGCATGAAAACGCCGTCAGAACTCAGCTCGGAGTTTTCTACAGTTGAGGACAGCCATGCCTGCAACACAGAGACCCCAGATGTAGCAGGAACCTCTCTGATAGCACTCGCATTGAGCGATCTGGGCAAATCATATCTGCACAAGGCGTCGCTTTGTCCGCTGACAAGCGGTTAGCTCCCTCGCACAGTCATGAACTGCCTTGATGACTCTAGCTAAGCGCGGCCCGTGGCCGCCAGTAGGACGGCCTAGTCAGTGCTGGCGTCGCCCTGGAACCGGTGGAGGGCCTCGCCATCGTCGGAATGTTGATCTGGCAGCTGTTGATTGGCAACGTTTGGCAACGCTGTTGGGGAGCTCCGTTTCCATTGCCAACTGGCCGTTTCCAAAGCCACCCGTTAGCAATGAAATGGAAACGACATCTGTTCCGGGTTGGGGACGCGCGTTAGAGCGTGCCAGCTGGAAGCCATCGGAGTGCACGGGGTTGTTGTTGAAGTGGGTCTTCTATTACAATACATACGTAAATCTACGCTAAATAAAATTGTCGGACTTTCTTAGTTGTGTAGGCGCTGGTGATGATTTTGATCTAGGCCGGCGGAGGCAGGAGCGCGATCCGCGGGACAAGGTGCTGGCGCGGCCACTCGTGTTGAGCGAGGAGCCGGAGAAGGCGACGCAGAGCCATCTGCCCGGGATTGCACGAGGTTGTACACTGTACAACCGTGTGCAATCATATGGGTTTAACACTTGCAGTCTTGGCTCATTTCCATTTTGCCAGACGTGCGCCATGCTCCCGCGCTTCGTTGGGGTATTGGCGTCTCTTGTCGCGATTTTGCGCGTCCAAGCAGCGTCCTGTCCGTACGCCACCCTAACGGTGACATCGGTCCTTGTCGACAATGCGCTGTGTACGTCGACGGGCCCGTGCCTTGTGAACCCAACGACGTGCGCCGAGATCAGCAAGGCGACGCCAAAGCTCCAGGCCGATGGGACGATGCAGTACGCTGTGGAGGCGGTCGGCGACATGAGCGGCTACACCAAGCTCACGGATCTGTACGTGTCGTCATGCTTGTCTGCGAGTTGCGCACTAAATTTTTGTTGACGACTAGGTATATTGGCCGGGATGGAACGTCGCCCGTCGACGTCACGTACATGCAGCTGCCTCCGACGCTTCTTACCTTGTACGTGCGTGCGTCTGTAGGAGGAACCCTAATCATGCTCGTGTACGTAGGTACTGTATGCACGGCGCTCCTTCCTTGAGTCAATGTGCCTGTAGCAAAGTCGACACGTACACGGGACTTGCAGCCGATTTCATGTGGCCGCCGACCCTCGATAGCTTGTACGTCGCATCGCATTTGTCGAGTTCTCATGACCGATAGTACTCTGCGAAATGGCCCGTTCAACGCGGCCACGCTGCCGCTGACACCCACAAAGCTGTCTGGACCTACGGCGACGCACGAGAGGAAGCAGCTCATCGAGTCGTAGGGGTCTGGACTTGGTGGGTTTGACGAAAATGCCACCTACAAACACAAAGTGGCGGTCCTTGTACGTTCGTGTTGAATCTGCACGACAACGGATCTCTCGCTGTAGGAACCTTGCCGGCAACAAGATTGAAGAGGTGGCCAACGCCGACCTCCCCAACCTTGTCTACTTGTACGCACCGTACTTGCTAGAAAAGAGGACGACGTGGCTCTGAGTAGCTCCATTTTTGGCAACCTGCTCACGACGTTCGCCAATGTTTCGTTCACCAAGTCGTTAAATTACTTGTACGTTTCTTGACAAAAGCGATAGACCACGTTGTGTCTAGTGGCATCACGGGCTCAATCACGACATTTACCGTCTCGAATGCAACGTACCAGGTCCTCAACGAGCTGGAAAAGCTCACGTCGCGAACGACCCGCCTTGGGTACGAGATTGACGACTACATGACGATCCAGCCGAACGAGACCAAGTGCACGCAAGCGGGCGGCACCATTCGACCGCTTTGGGCTTTGAAAGATGCAAGCCGCAACTTTGCTGCATGTGTGCTTCCCGGTAGAGTCGGCGCGATCTCTCGACGGGTCGCACGACATGTTATGTAGATCCCCAGCCACGTACCCTAGCCCCTACGACGGCCGTCCCAACGACGTCACCACCTTTGGAAACATCGAGTAAGAAACATGATGCGGAATTACAACCCCTCATGGTCCTTGTAGACATCGGTCTCGTTGTCGGTGTCTCGGCCAGTGCGATCGTGCTCGTGCTTTTGTTTGGTTGGTGGTGCCTCTGGAAGCGGCGCAAGCCCGTGCCACCGACCCCCGACGCCGTGTACCATCGGTATTCCACGCGAGGGACGTTGGCCGGCACGGCCACTGTCGACGTCACGGGCTTTCCAACCGGTTCGATTCCGTCCGGCGGAGACAAGTCGCGTCACTACGTCAACGTCGACCTCGACGTCCTCCGCATGCTCCGCCTCGAGCCCAGTGAGCTTCGAGCCATTGGCAATACGCCCATGGCGGCTGGCGCGCACGGCGAAGTCTGGCTCGGGACGTACGCGGGCCAACCGGTTGCGATCAAGCGCACGAAGGACAAGTCGGCCAAAGCAATTGCGAAAATGTCGGCTGAGATCCTCCTCATGTCGCGGTACACACGCTTCCGATTCTCAATGTGGACGCACTCCAATGCTGTACATGCGTAGAATCAACAGCCCGTACGCCGTGTCGCTCATTGGTGCAAGCTGGCTGCGCCCGACCGACCTCGAGTGCGTCGTCGAGTACATGGACCGCGGTGATCTGCGGTCGTTCTTGTCGTCCACCTCGTCGGCAGCCTTCTCATGGCACCAAAAGCAGGAGAGCATCGCGCAAGTCGTCCAAGGGCTTGTGTACCTGCATACGTTTGAGACACCAATCATCCACCGCGATCTCAAGTCCCGCAACGTCCTCCTCGACTCCAAGAAGGTCTACTCTCCACCGATATACGCCAATGTCTCACGGAGAAAGATGGGGTTAGGGGACCAAGCTCACGGACTTTGGCGAGTCGCGCGAGATGGACGAAGAGACCCTTACGAACGGCATTGGCACGTACCAGTGGATGGCGCCCGAGATCTTTACGGGCCACGACTACTCGACGGCCGCCGACGTCTACTCGTTTGGTACAGCTTTCTTTCTTGGGGCTAGGTTTTTATAGAAGGGGTAGGGGTCTTGCTGTCCGAGTACTCGACGCACCGTGTGCCGTACGCCGACATGATCAACCCGCGCACCAACAAGCCGATGAACCAGCAGTTCATCATGCACCAAGTGACGTCGGGTGCGATTACCCCAACGTTCGAGACGGCGACAACGCCACCGTGGGTCCTGGAGCTGGCCAAGCAGTGCCTTGCGTTCGACCCGGAAGATCGCCCGAGCACCCTCCAGATCATCAACGTCGTGCTCAAAGCCACTGCGTAAGCCAGAATTGCCATTGACTTGTATGATTCCACGCCTTTTCATGTTGGTTTGATTTGACGCTCGTTGAGAAGAGTTGGCAGCCGTCCTTCTGCGATGACACTCAACTCAATTCATCTTGTATTGCTTAGCACGCACGCTGCAAGAGCACACGCACGGTATCGGGCAGCAAGTCGAGGTGCGCAGTCGACTGCCGCGCCAGCCACGACGCCGCGAGCTCCGAGACCGCCGGCACGGTCTCTAGAAGGGACGTGAGCGCGTCGACATCCTGGTCGAGCGCCGCGGCCTCGATCGCCGCATCCAGCAGCGGCTTCCACACGCCGTCGGCGCTCGACGGCCAGTGCGTCCGGAGCACCTCGCGCGCACTCTCGTCCATGGCGTTTAGAACGAGCGGCCAAAACGTGCGCCGCCGGTTGCCCGACGAGCGATGAACCCGCTCCAAGAGCCAAAGCGCGTCGGACGCGTGGAGGACGACCGGCAGCAGATGCATCGTCGCTTCCTCGATCCACGCAACGCTTGCAGTGTCACGGGCAACGCACGGGCTTGTCCAGAGCTACATCACCCAACGTCATAAGACTCGAACCAGCGTTTCGGACGATACCACGTGGAGCAGCTGCGTCGCCAAAGCCGTGTGCTGCAGCGCCAGCGTCGTGACCTTGTCCAGGAACGCTTTGGCCGACGGCAAAAAGAGCTGCGAGGCACACACCCAGCTCAGGTCCAGCACCAGCGGCAGTAGCTGCGTCACAAGCTGGTCGTCGCCCGTAAGCCGCTTGCGCTTGCCATGTCCACGGGGCAGCGCCTGGTCCAAAATCGTGAGCAAAACGCGCGGCGGCTCGACGTCCAGATACGGGAACACGACGGCGTCTTCGCCGAGCGGCGCCACCTTCTTGTACTCGGCAACGAGGTCCTTGGCGTTGGGCACAGCAAGCTGGAGCTGCACAGCGACAAGCACGCGACAGAGACGCGGCAGCACCGACGACTCGAAGCTCTCCCAGAGCCGCTCGAGCGTCTCCGTGAGCTGCTGAACAATGTGGACAAGACTCGCATCCAGCACCCACGCGCCAAGCGTCGCATCGCTGCAGAAAATCACATCCAGACACGCGAGCACGAGGACCGGGTCCATGATCTCGGCTTGCCTACACAGCGTATACACCTACTGACACGCTTTTGACGTCACTCACGTACGACTGCATCGACTCGACCAGCGTATCGAGAAACGTCGGCAGTTGTCCCCAGTGCTGCAGACTGTGGAGAATCCCTGCCAGATACGTGCGCGACGACGTCTCTGTGAGCCCTTCGAGCTGCGTCAGCGCTTGGTAGAGCAAGTCACTTTGCAGCGTGGTCGGGAGCACCGCAATCACATGCCAGAGGCGCGCTGTCACTAGACAATATTGTACAATCTTCGATCCAAATAGAGAGATAGAACTACCTTTGGTGTCGTTAGTCTCAAACACAGCCGCAATGTCGGCCGATCTCATCTCGGCTGTAAGAAAGGCGACGCATTCTGTGTACCGCGGATCGTGGTAGAGCGGACCCGCGACGCTCTCGAGCAGCGTCTTCATGACGTCGCAGAGCAATGGTGCAAGCTCGGCCATCGACGCTTCGCCCAAGCACTTGAAGAGGAGCACGACCAGCTTGCACACCGACCCAATCGATGCAAAGTGGTGTACGTTCTTGTAGAACACGAGGCTCGCGTGCGGGTGCTTCTCGATGAGCGAGAGCGCGCGGGCGACTTGGGACGACCCGGGCACGCCTTGAGGAAAGTACGAGTTGAGGAAGAGCTCGGTGAGCGGCTTGGCGACACTGTGGCGGGTCTTGTCGAGCTCCAAGCGCTTGAAACAGTGCTCGAGAGACACAACGTCGTAGAAATGGAGACCGCGAATGCTCTTGACGCGGACCAGGAGCCGGGCCATGGCGGCGCGGACCTTCTCGTTCGTGTCGTGCATCAACGGCGCCAACTAGCCAATGGAAATGAAATATTCCGTCATTTCCGCGATTTGTGTGTGTTTTTGCACAACATTTCGCGATCGCTAGCTTCAACTATCGCAAGAGCAAGCAAAATCTACCTGTGGTAAGAGTGGCTTGAGAACATGGTGACTCAGATGGTTCTCGAGCACGACAAGGAGACCCTCAACGACAGCGACGCGGACGGCGGCCGACGTCGTATCTTGAGAAAGCTCAAAGCATTTGAGAAGGCACTTGCGAATCGTGTCGACCGGCAAGAGTTCCCAGTACATAGAGAGCACCTACATCCGAAATATATATATTGATACATTGATATTGGAAGGAGCGCAGGACCTTGCAGATACCGTGAATCGCAACGATGCGGACGCTGGGCGCTGCGTCTTCGAGCAGCATGGCAAATGCGTCAAACTGCCGCTGCAGACACGCGTCGAGCTCGACTTTGAGAAAATTCGGGTCTTGGTACGGGAACCCGTCGAACAAGAGGACGGCTGCATGGTGGCGCACGACATCGTTGGCGGCGTGGAGTGCCCGCCACAAGATGGGCTCGGAGAGTCGGTAGAGCATCTCGTCCGTGTGGCGCTTGTGTTCGAAAAAAGGCTATATAAATACACACAACTTGTCCATCAAACGAATGGCCATGAGGTGTAGTACCTGGAGGAGTGCTCGGAGCGCGTTGAAATGACTTGTGGACGCCGCAAAGGTCGCGGCTTGGAGAAAAGCCTGGATGCAGTCGTCTTCGATATGCACGAGGACCGGCGACGATGGCTGCGCGGCTGCCGTGAGCCATGCCTAGGACAGAGCAGTGTTACTTGTTGGTATCGAGGTTGAGAGGCGTATGTACATGGTAGTAGACCAGGCCAAAGCGCTGGACTACGGCCTTGCGTTGGTCGGGCAGCTGGTTGTGCATTGTCTCGTGGATCTCGTGGACAAAGCTCGCGTCGATCTGGAAGAGGTCGCTGAGGAAGGCAACGCCTTCGGACGACTTGAGAAACGACGTAGTGACAAAGCAGCGGAGCAAGAGGTCCTTCAAGAGCCTATTAGCCTGTTCAGTACCAAGAGGCAGAGAGCGTCGCGTACCGAGAGCTGTCGTCATCAAAGTCGAGGAGCTGCAATGCGTCCTGAACGGCGCTGAGGCGCTTGATGAAGCCAACGCTCTGGGCCGCTTCGCTCTCGAGCGCACGGACCAAAAGATATGGCAGGAGCTGCGTGATGACGCGCTCGGCGCCCGACGGCGTCGCCGCCCAGTACGCTTCGCAGAGCTTGGCAATCACGTCCTGCGTGTCGGCGCTACCATGTCACATGAGCCTCGATGGAATGCTGCATATCGAGGCGAGACCAGGACGTCTGGAGCAGCTGGTCGTGCAGGTCGGCGATGACGATCGCAAGCCGGTCCAGCACGCGCGTCGCGAGCTTGCACGCCTCGCGGTGCTCGTACAGCAGCGACGTGAACGACGCGATCGTCCAGAGGTCCACAGCCGTCGCGGCCGGGAGGCTACTGCACAGCGCAACAAGCTGCGCTGTCGAGAGCGTCTCGAGCCACTCGACCCACTCGCCCATCGTATCGTCTTCGCCGTTGCAGTCGGCGTAGAAGGCCTGGAGGAGCGCGTCGCTCGACTTGGTCGTCTCGAGGGCCGCGAGGCCGGCGGCCAAGGCTGGGCGCACCATCCTCTTCCGATGCCGAAAATAAGTTCTCCAAATGCCACTTTTAAACCGGCGTGTATCCGGAATGTGCCGGATATCGGAGTTCAAACGAGCGCATTTGGCGCCAAGCGCAAGAACCGGAGTCAATGTCAAACTTATGAGCAACGACGACAGGAGTATAACATAAAATCACAATTTCTAGTAGTCTAACAACACATGACGATTTTTAACAGCAACGCCAAGCCCCGCGCCCATTCTACCACCTCCTGAAGTGTGAGATAGTACCGTCCCTCGTGTCACCGTCTCCGTGTCGGGCTCGACCTGCTGCTTGGCGTGCGGCGCCTCCTCAGGCTAAAGTGACCACTTCCATTGCCCGTTTTCCCCACGAGCTCTGAACGTCCAAATCCATCGACTCCACACCTCGTAATCTCTACGTCGACCAAGCAACAGACAATATAATCTCGTTGGTTCTTTTCGTCGACGACTGTAGTACGTGCAAGTCGTTAGCGCACATACTATCTTGTAGGACTACGCCGATGTGGCTTTGAGCACGATGTTGACGATTTGGAGGGTGCTTGGACGGTCCTCCGGGTCGAACGCAAGGCACTGCTTGGCCAGCTCCAGGACCCACGTCGGCGTTGTCGACGTCTCGAACGTTGGGGAAATCGCACCCGACGTCACTTGGTGCATGATAAACTGCTGGTTCATCGGCTTGTTGGTGCGCGGGTTGATCATGTCGGCGTACGGCACACGGTGCGTCGAGTACTCGGAGAGCAAGACTCCTACCCCTTCTATAAAAACCTAGCCCTAAGAATGGAAGATATACCAAACGAGTAGACGTCGGCCGCCGTCGAGTAGTCGTGGCCCGTAAAGATCTCGGGCGCCATCCACTGGTACGTGCCAATGCCGTTCGTAAGGGTCTCTTCGTCCATCTCACGCGACTCGCCAAAGTCCGTGAGCTTGGTCCCCTAACCCCATCTTTCTCCGTGAGACATTGGCGTAGATCGATGGAGAGTGGACCTTCTTGGAATCGAGAAGGACGTTGCGGGACTTGAGATCGCGGTGGATGATCGGCGTCTCAAACGTATGCAGGTACACAAGACCTCGAACGACCTGCGAGATGCTCAAGCTCTTCTGCGCCCAAGTAAAGGCTGTCGGGGACGTTGACGCGAGAAATGAGCGGAGATCGCCACGGTCCATGTACTCGACGACGCACTCGAGGTCGTTCGGTCGCGTCCAGTTGGCCCCAATCAGTGACACAATGTACGGGCAGTTCATTCTACAAGGGCAATCTCATTTCAGATGAGCACCGCCATATATACTACCTCGACATGAGGAGGATCTCGGCGGCCATTTTGGCGATCGCTTTCTCCGACGGGTCCTTCGTGCGCTTGATCGCAACCGGTTGGCGCAGATACGTGGCGCGCCAGACCTCGCCGTGCGCACCGGCCGCCAGTGGCGCGTCACTGGTGACGCGGAGCTCGCTGTGCTCGAGGCGCACCATGCGTAGCGCATCGAGGTCGACGCGCACATTTGATGCTGGCGCCGCCCCGCTGAACGTCTGATCGACGGTGCCGTTGGTCTTGTGCAGCCTCATCATTCCGAGCGCCGCACCCGTGTCTTCTGACGTCATTGCGCCGCGACGACGCTTCCGGAGGCAGAAACCAAGGACAACGACAACGACGACCGTTGCCACCGAGATACCGACAATGACGCCAACATCTAGCCCGTCATCCGACGAGGGTTAGCCAACGTCAGATGCAAGCATCACATACGAGAAGAAGCGTCGTTGGTTGTCGGCGACGTCGTCGCTGGTGGCAGCGTTGTTCGAGGCTCGGGATCTAGAAAGGGCGAGACTCTAGTTGGACGTATGTGGTCGTTGTACCTGGCACGACGCACGCCGTGTACGTTGCCGGCGCACTGCCTTTGGACCAGAGCGGTTGAAGAACACCGCCGGCGCGCGTGCAGGTGGCCGCGTCGAGGACGGTGATGAAATTGTGGACTTCGTACCCCGAGTATATCGTGGAAGCTGATGGTTTTGCGGCGAGGCGGTTGAGCGACCGATAGGACGATTCCGACACGATCAAGGTCGTGACGTTGCCCGAGATGGCGCTATTTGATCATAAGACATCAAACTAGGGGTAGACGCACAAGTATTTGAGCTTGGAGGACAGGGTTAGGTTCGCGATCGTTGTTGTCGGGTTGCCGATGAACGACCTAGAGAGCGTTGACGCCAGTCGTGATGGATACCGATACACTTCAGTAATGTTGGATAGATCGACATTAACGAGCTTCGCGATCGGGTTGGACGACACGGTCCTATGAGGCGTCGTTCGCACCAGCCGGTTCATAACGTTATGGTACAAATATGTCCATTGTGGTGCAATGGAGGGCATGTTCGTGAGCCCCATCGCGTCCCAGCGTCTATACGTAGCGATGGTTCACTCGATATGACATTTCTTTTGTGAAAAACCTACAATTGCGTGATCGATTCCGGCAAATTCGACGGCACATCGGTCGGTGGGCCCCGAAACACGGCGCTATACCAGACAATTCCATCAGTTTTTATGAAATAAAACCATGCACACACAGCGTCGTCAGTGTCGGCGGCCACGTAAAATTGCGTGGGAGTCGGTTAAAGTCGATCGCTTGACTAGGAAAAATACTGGCATCTGGTTTCATGCAAATTTAAACCTACCTAGACACAAAATTGAGTTGAAATGAGCCCAAAAATCCAAATATTACAAGTCGGTCAAGGTACGGGGCAGCGTCATCAGGGACAGGTCGACGAACGGGCCGGTTGCTTTGGCCACTGCCCTACGCGTCCCAACGTGTTAATAAGGTGGTCGCACACAGCTAGCTGGCTACAGATACGGCGACGTATACGACGTCATGTCCCCGACCGCGTCGACTCTGAACACGATCGTGCCGTCGCCTGTCGTCGTCGTTGTGGCGCTCGAGAGCACGCGGCACTTGGGCGACAGCAGGCACGGCTGCGCGACGTTGCCGCAGAGATCGCTCGTGCTCGCGAGGATCGACGTGACGTCCATGCCGGTGTACGGACACGGCAGCGCATTCGCCGCCAAGAAGGACGCGAGTATTAGCACGGCTCGCATCGTACTTCCAATTCGGCGGTACACGTTTTTTGAACGGACGTGGGCGGATGAGTGCAGACCTATCACTCGATTCCTCTGACCTCTGCACGGGCTCGCAGCGATTTGCCATACTCTGCACGAGTCCTCGCCGATGGTTGTCATGTTGAAACCCGATTGGACTTGGTGAAAGCTGTGTATTGTCTTCTTGTTGCTAAGCGCTCTCGAACTCTCTATAGTCCCACACGCAGCTAACGAGGAAGACACTATTGTGGGCTCTGCAGAAAACATACGTGTGCCAGTGGTTGGAGAAGGCAGCTCGTCGCATTTGAGAGCTGAGAAGAGAGTGAGAGTTGCTGAGAGCTGAGAGAGAGTACCGAGAGCTTCACGAGCGCTCTGTTATCCGGACCGTTATCCGGACAAACAGTGGTGGGTCGCGGAGCAGGTGGCGGAGGTCCTTTTCTGACCAAACTGTCAAACTCTCGAGTCCTCCAGAAAGGAAGCTTACTAGTTGTACAACACCTCGTTCATAGATGGGTGTGTCTTCGTCCTTGCAGCCACACAAGGTTGTGCACGTGAGCGAGATACTGCGACCTCGGGTCTTGCGCTATATTAACGGGTTTGTCAAATTCTTAACGTGTTTGTCAAATTCGAAGATCGTGCTGGACATGGTAATTGGTCGGAGCTTGGCGCAGCGCAAAGTGCTGCATCGCTTTGCTCTCGAGCTCTCGTATTTCTCTCATAACACTGATCGTCGTTCGGTTGGAAGAGAGTTGCTCGTGCGCTTTAGCAAGAAGAGACCCACGACATGTGCTTGCGGTCGTGGAAGATGCGCGTTCGCGACGATTCTCGAGAAGCTGGTTTGTCTGGTGGAGGCGGCATTTCGTATCCGACCTTTTGTTTTCAAGTCGCAGCTCAAATAGCCTGCTCATCGAGGCAGGCCGACAGGTGCATATTTTTCGAGTTGCGAGCTGCCGTCCAGCACCACGCTACGGAATAGATACTACATTCCTATCCAAATCCAAATACAGTACATTGGAATCCTCAACTGATACACGCAGCATGGTAGTCGCATCGAGGGTTTGACAGAGCCGGTATAGAATTAGGGCAACCTATCGTAGTGGCCATTGAAACCGAGCCAAAGGTATCCATGCACGCATCCAACAGTCGCGTGCAAGGCAGTAATGCCACATGTTGTGAATAGGGGAAATGATTTGGACTAGATTGTAATAGTTCAATCATTCGCGGTTAAACAATAGTGCAGCTACTGGCTCACTGCTTCGCACCTCAATAATGGACGGAAGTGTACCCGTAGTGATGTCATGCATGGAGCTGCAGCCAGCCCTCGCGAGAGCAAGCTGGACGACGATATCGAAGCATGCGCCCGTCAAATCCAATCGACAGACGCGGCAATGTATCCTGTGCAGTTGCCTGACGTCCAAATTCAACAGTGATGCGTCACCAGGTGGTCGGTCCTGCGGTGGAGAGGCTCGTGTGTTGGAGCGTTGGCAGGCAGCTCATTTTGCATTTGAGAGCACAACCCATGGATCGCTTCCAAGCCCCTTCGATGTTGCACCCTGCCCGCCGGCTCCGGGACGACGCCAGTGCATCGGCGTCGGACGCGCCCTTGTCGATCCGTACATCCAAACTGGCGTGGTACCATGTAGTTTAACGCGCTTTTTCGTAGCGATCCTCGTGTGGGTCTTGATTGGCCTTGCGGTTCTCTGCGTTGTGCTCATGCTTTGTCGAGTCTGTGCCTTCGGCAGCTTCGAGCGACGCAAGGCCGCACCGACGAGCCATAGCGACTACGTCGCTGCCCCGACACCCGTCGCCGCGCCCAAGCCAATCGAGCCGTGGCGAATGCTAGCTCGGGTGCCCACCTTCCGCGGGACGCTTCCCGCCGGCGCAATGATATCGTCGACATGGAGCGTCTTCGTCTCCTGCGCCTCCAACACGAAGACCTCAAAGTGCTCAGCAACGCCCCGATCGCGGCCGGCGCGCACGGCGAAGTCTGGCTCGGGACGTATGCGAGCCAGGCGGTTGCCATCAAGCGCACCACAGACAAGTCGATGAAAGCGATCGCCAAGATCTCGGAAGAAATCCTCCTCATGTCCCGGTATGACTCGATCCAGAGCCATGGATCGCTAATGTTGTGTGTGTTTTTGGATAGAATGGATAGCCCGTATATCGTGTCGCTGAATGGTGCGAGCTGGACGCGCCCGACCGACCTCGAGTGCGTCGTCGAGTACATGGACCGCGGTGATCTGCGGTCGTTCTTGTCGTCCACCTCGTCGGCAGCCTTCTCATGGCACCAAAAGCAGGAGAGCATCGCGCAAGTCGTCCAAGGGCTTGTGTACCTGCATACGTTTGAGACGCCGATCATCCACCGCGATCTCAAGTCCCGCAACGTCCTTCTCGACTCCAAGAAGGTCTACTCTCCACCGATATACGCCAATGTCTCACGGAGAAAGATGGGGTTAGGGGACCAAGCTCACGGACTTTGGCGAGTCGCGTGAGATGGACGAAGAGACGCTTACGAACGGCATTGGCACGTACCAGTGGATGGCGCCCGAGATCTTTACGGGCCACGACTACTCGACGGCGGCCGACGTCTACTCGTTTGGTATATCTTCCATTCTTAGGGCTAGGTTTTTATAGAAGGGGTAGGAGTCTTGCTCTCCGAGTACTCGACGCACCGTGTGCCGTACGCCGACATGATCAACCCGCGCACCAACAAGCCGATGAACCAGCAGTTTATCATGGCGCAGGTACTCTCAGGCACAATTACCCCTACGTTCGAGACGTCGACAACGCCGATGTGGGTCCTGGAGTTGGCCAAGCAGTGCTTGGTCTACGACCCCGAAGACCGTCCGAGCATGCTGCAGATCGTCAACGTCGTGCTCAAGGCCACGGCGGCGTAGCGTAGAGAATCCAACAGGCGTGTATGTATACATTGAACATGTTGGCTATCCCTTGTGCGTCATAGGGTAAACGTGATTCGTAAAGACAAAAATACCCCACGGGATATCCTTTGTGCAAAATACAAAATCGTTCATGGATAGTGTACTGAACATTGACTAAATTGCCAAAGTAGTTCGCACAACTTGAAAGACAGAGAGCATGCTCGGGCGGTCTTCCGGGTCGAACGCAAGGCACTGCTTGGACAGCTCCAGGACCCACGTCGGCGTTGTCGTCGTGTCAAACGTTGGCGTAATCGCACCCGACGTCACTTGGTGCATGATGAACTGCTGGTTCATCGGCTTGTTGGTGCGCGGGTTGATCATGTCGGCGTACGGCACACGGTGCGTCGAGTACTCCGAGAGCAAGACCCCTACCCTTCTATAAGAACCTAGCCCTAAGACAGGAAGATGTACCAAACGAGTAGACATCCGCCGCTGTCGAGTAGTCGTGGCCCGTAAAGATCTCGGGCGCCATCCACTGGTACGTGCCAATGCCGTTCGTAAGGGTCTCTTCGTCCATCTCACGGGACTCGCCAAAGTCCGTGAGCTTCGTACCCTAACCCCATATATGTCTCCGTGAGACAATGGTGTATATCGGTAGAGAGTAGACCTTCTTTGAGTCGAGAAGGACGTTGCGGGACTTGAGATCGCGGTGGATGATTGGCGTATCAAACGTATGAAGATACACAAGACCTTGGACGACGTCCGAGACGCTTTCTTGCTTTTGCGCCCAGTTGTACGCCAGTGGCGCCGTCGACGACAGAAACGAGCGAAGGTCGCCCAGATCCATGAGCTCCACGACGCACTCGAGGTCGGTTGGACGCAGCCAACTCGCACCAATGAGCGACACAATGTACGGACAGTCCATCCTAGTACACGTCGTGAGCTTTACGATGAAGCCGACACAATGTCTACTTGGCCATGAGGAGGATCTCAGCCGACATCTTTGCAATCGCTTTGGCCGACTTGTCCTTGGACCGTTTGACCGCAACGGGCTGCTGGGCGTATGTCCCGCGCCACACTTCCCCGTGGGCGCCGGCCGCCAGCGGGTCGCTACCCAGCACTTGGAGCTCGCTCGGCACAAGGCGCAGCAAGCAGAGGCTGTCAAGATCCACGTCGACGCGCGGGCGCGACTTGTCTCCTGCGAGCATGGTGTCGGTCGCTTGGCCTGTTGAATGGTTGCCAGATTTCGAGAGCGTTTGGAGCGGTATGGGGGCGTGGTAGCCGTCGTCGGTGGACGGCGTTGACTGGCGTCGCTTCCAGAGACAGCAGCCGATGAGTAGGACGACGACGACCCCTGCCGCGGCAGCCCCAGCAATGACACCGACATCTACAGTTGTATAAGGCTAATGCTTCAGCTTGAAAGGCAGCTCCACTTGTAGAGGAGGTCGCCGGCACGGGCGTCGATGCCGATGAGGGCGATGATGGGATGGGAGTAGTGGAAGGGGCAGCGGACGCAGTATTGTCTAATGGTTTTTATCGAGATCGGCGTTGTCAGCTGGAAGGTGTTCAATATTGTACCTCGCACGACACAGACGGCAAAGTTAGCGTCGGGGTCTTTGGCCCAGAGGCGCGAGACGACGCCGTGGCTTTGAGTGCACGCGGCAGTGTCGATGTTGACGCTGCACATGTACAGTTCGTAGCCGACGCCGTTCGAGACTTTGGAAAGTCCATTGAGAATGTCGAAGGCTATTTTGGAGAGTGTAAAGGTCGAAATGCGTCCCGAGAAGCTTCTACACAGTAGCAAAATTGAGTGCCGAGTCTCATATTTTGCGAAATCGACAGGTAGTTGAGCTTGGGCGAGAAGGTGATGTTTTCGATTTTGGTGAGCGGCGCACTCCACAAGGAACTACACATCGTTCTTACAGCAACGAGGACAAGAATGGCCACGTACAAGTAGACAAGGGAAGAAATATCGAGGTTGACAATCTCCGTGATGGGATTCCGCGCGAGACTCCTACACTCTTGGAGTATGAGACAATATCTCATCGTCACTCATCATAGTACTACGTACAAGGACAACCACTGCGGCGCAATAGTCGGAACTTTTGTGAGCTTCATCCCGTCCCATTTCCTAACAAAAAGTGAAAAAGCTGGAACGACGTCATCGGTTCCGACAAGCTCGTCACGGACGACGGCAGGTCCGAGGGCATTGGTAGGTCGTACTTCTCGGTGCCACCAATTTGTCTACCACCACGGTTATTTCACTTGTTCCACAACACCTCGTCGTGGACGTACAGCGACGTAAGCGTGGAGGGCCACGCATGACGGGGCAGCGTCACCGCACCTTCTACTGCACTAAATTCGAGATGAGCGCAATGGGCTCGACACGACGAAACCTACATGATAGCAATCAGATCTCTGGACAACAATCAGATCTCAAAACGTGCGATTCTTGGCAGCAACCACGTACCTACAACGTCTCGAGACTCTCGGGGAGGACCATGGTCGACAGGTCGAGCGCGGCGGGACTTGTCTGCGTATTCAGCGACCTGGTTAAGAGATTTGAGTACAAATGCAAACACCAGAAGTCCAGTTGATGGCTACGATGGTCAAGAAGACAACTTACAGGTAGTGGGCCGAGTACGTCGACATGTCTCCGACAGCATCCACAATGTACCAGCCCGGGCCGTCCTTGAACGAGTTGGCGGGTCGCGGCGTCAGCGTCGCGCTGCCCTTGACGACACACGAGGTCGATGACACGAGGCATGGCGCCGTAAATGTCTTGCAGAGCTCGTTGCTCACGAGGACCGACGTCGCGTTCAGGTGCGAGTACGGGCACGTCGTGGTGCTAGCACCGACGCTAGCCCAGAGGAGCGAGGCGACGGCAAGCACACGCAGCATCGCCAAAGCAAGAATGGCCATAAACCTACCGTCTGAGTGGTCGGTTGCGGTATTGTGATGACGCAGTTTGCTGTTTCGAACCATATGGTAACAGGAATGATGTTGCTCTATCGCGCGGGCTCAGCTTGTTGGCGTTCAACACATAGCGGTGATGTAGAATCGAGGTGGGCATATCGCCCGGTGAGGCGACAAGTGGAGGTGCTGTGGGCGGAAGAACTCGTGCCGACATTGGTAGTCACGAAACGGCGACGACGCTCTGGGAATGTGCTCGTCGAAGGCGGGGTTAGTAAGCATGTTGAATTGCAGCGCGTCACTGCCATTTCATCCAAAAATGAAAACATACAATATTTTCATCCGTGTTTTGATTCGAGGATGGGGATAAATTTGCTGTTGAGTGTCTATTTTGCATGACAAGCCGTGGTTTGAACGTACAGACCAAACTGGATCGTTATCGCCAGCCAAATGTCGTCGGGCCGTAGCTCCAAGTGGAGGTGCTGGGCGTACGCCATGCCGACGCCATCGAGAAAGTCTGTATGCGACGCAGCGAACGGCGTCGTGAGCGGTGAGTGCTTGATCACGTGGCGACAGCCAGTCTATCCGCATTCGGACAGCCGGTCGAAGGCTGTCGTGCCGCTATTGGCCATGCGTCCAGAGCAGTTGGCCGGCGTCACGGACGATAAGGCAAAAATGATGCTGCTGCTGCTGTCGACGCGTATCGTTATCGGTCGCATGGCGTGCCACGTCATTCCGCAGACGAGGACGGTGAGCATACAATGCATTCCGCTCATAATGATCGCAGTTTTTGGAATTTGACACCCGTTGCGATTCCTTGGTTTCTCATTGGCTGAAATCTTCCTCCCATTGTCTAAAATTCATTCCTAACGTTGTTGTTGAAGTGGTATGTGAAAAAATGATAAGAAATCCACTCAAAATCAAATTGTCGGACTTTCTTCGTTGAATGGCGGCCTCCTTGCGGCGACTTACACGATATAAACTTGGCACATAACTCTCTCATTCGTTAGTCTCAGCGGTCGCTGTTGGTATATTTGCGTCATCTTCGCTGGAGAGGAGGACTCGGAGCGCGAGGCCGTCATGGCTAAGGCGCGCACAATGCGAGCGGACGCTTGGCATTCGGTGGCTTGCTCGAGGACTGTTCTTGTGAGGACAGCGAGCACCGACACTTCCGCATTTCACTGAGACGATCGATCGAGCTCAAAAGCGTACCACAGTACAATACGCGACCGCTCACCCTCCCACGCTCTGCGGAACCCCCGACGAGTCGCCAGTCGTGCCGGTTGGTGTTTTCGCGCGACTGCACGTCTTTCTCAGTATTCCTCAGGCAGGTTTGAAAGTCATTGTGACGACGACGCGTGCCCGATTTGCTTGGAGAACTTTACACCTGCGATAGTCTTGGAGCTGGCGTGCGGTCATGGCTTTCACGTGTCGTGCTTGCGCGACTGGCTTACGATTACACCACTTTGTCCGACGTGCCGTGGCTCACCCGGATCGATCGTGTTGCATGTCTCGTCATAGGTATTATAGATCCCGATGGTACGCAGAATAATGACTCGGTTACCAAAGATACGACTGCATCGTGGATTCGTTTGTAAAACCCACTGACCAATAAAAGTGAATGGGACATCGTCAACACGAACCGTAATCGCTGGTTCGTGGATTTGTGCAGCTGTCTCACCGTCACCGCGGTGTTCACTAAAAACTGGATCTACCAGATGCTTGAGACCACGACTCTAGTCTTTATGAGGACAAAGCTGATGGTCCTATATCACATCTAAAAATAGAATATAACAACACATGTTTCCTTTCCCCGTTGCTTGGCCACGGGTGGACGCCTTGTAGTTGTGGTTGAAGTGGGTCGTCTATTAAAATAGATACGTAAATCTACGCTAAATGAAATTGTCGGCCTTTCTTCGTTGTGTAGGCGCTGGTGTTGATGGCTGGAGCGCGATCCGCGGGACAAGGTGCCACTCGTGTTGAGCGAGGAGCCCGGAGAAGGCGACGGAGAGCCATCTGCCTGGGTTTTAAACGAGGCTGTGGTGGCGAGCCTGTGGTGCAAGTGCATTTGAGCGACACGCGCCGCTTTGACGGCAATCGTCCATGGACTTGGCAGTGGGAGGTCGGCGCGAAGGACGCGATCGTTTCGGACGCGCCAGACGTTGAACCAGACGCAGGCGCGGAGCACTTGCCAGAGGTAGCTCGGTGCATGTTGGAGGCCGTCTTCGGCGTCGAAAGGACGCCTTGTAGTGTCCCAGCGTAGGACAGGAATGTCCAGGTGGGTAGTTTCTCGCACCGGCGTAGGACAGAAATTGTTGAAGTCGAACTATACTAAACTTAGTAGGCAACCGTTCAGTCTACATTCACCACCGTCAGACGGAGTGCTGTCGGTGTGTCCCGTTGCCTGGCTCGGTTTTTGCTTCCTCAACCGCCTCCTCACTGTGTTGTCTATCACATTATGAACTTTATTGTGTCCGCCAAGCAGCTGGCCGCATCACGGCCAACCACGCGGTCACAAATGGCAGCCGCCCCGTGGACAACGGTTGTCAAGCTCTTGCCCATCGTCGTCACGCCATTCATCGCCTCGGAACCACACAAGTTGGGCTACTTTGTGCAATACGAGATGCGGCTGCAATGCCCCATCACGCTCCGGTCATGGACCATCTACAAGCGCTACTCGCAGCTTCTCCAGTTCCGATCGCAGCTGGCCAAGCTGCACGCCACGTCTCCGTCGTGTTTCCTTGCTTACTTGCTCAATTTGCACTTTCCAAAGAAGATGCTCAACTGGGAGAGACCCGTTGTTGTTGCCGACCGCATGCAGCGCTTTCAGATCTTTGTCGAGCACATCTGGAGCTTGTATGTGAGCTGTGTGGTGCCAATGACCGAAGCCTCTGAAGACGTCGATGCCATCATCTCGTGTCTCCGTGCGTTTTTGAGCGTGCCAGAGACGGTGCTGGCCATTTCGGTGCGCCACCTTGAAGACATGCCTCGCGACTTGGACGCATGCGTGGTGTGCTTGGGCGAGTTTGCTGCGAAAGACTTTTGCCGTCCGTCGACGGTGCTGGCGCTGGCGTGCGGACACGTCTTTCATCAAGATTGCCTTCGGCAGTGGTTTGTCCTGGCAGCAACGTGCCCGACGTGTCGTTGTGACGCGGGGCAAATGTCACTCTTAGAAATGTAGCGCTCAGGAGTAGTGGGTAGAGTAATCTGTGTTATCTTTTATAGCTTATATACTGCTAGTTCAAGGCACACCACGTGGGCTACGTCACGCCGACACGTCGGACACGTTGCTGCTATCGCGCACAACTGCTGCAGGCAATCGCGGTGGAACACATGACCGCACACCAGCGCCAGCACAATCAACGAACCACTCAAGTCGTCAATGTCATCAAGTTTGAACCTCACCCAAGCACACCGCGCACGGGTCCATGTCCTGGGGTATTGCTTTCATATGGCGCACCGAGATGGCCAGCACGGCCTCGGGCACACTCCTCAACTCGCGCAGACATGCGATGACGGCAGCGGCTTCCTGTGGCGCGCCGCTGGTTGGCAAAACGCAGCTCGCGTACAAGCTCCAAATATGATCGACAAAGATTTGAAAACGTCTCATGCACTCGGCTTCTCCGAGTCGAAGGCTTTCTAGGGAAAGAGACGCAGTGTTTGTCTTGCCATTCTTCGGTTAACACATCGACTATATTGGCCTTTGTGATTACATGTAGCAGGCTGCGCTACTCGGTTGTAAGCGGAAGAATCATTGTCGTACGACAAACGGCAGCGTGACTACTTCTGGACCAATATGACAGCTTGAAATGAAACATCTGTACTTCCGATCCAGACTTAGTTGTATATTTGAGGGTTGATGTCGATCGATACATGCTGATAGTCAACAGTCGACTAGGTTGGTCATTGGGACTTGAGCGCCATCGCCCAGCCCAGCTGCGGGACAATTGTGTTGTTGTTTTGAATCGTATACGACATGTGACCTGCGAGCATGATCGCGTCCATCTTGACGCCATGGTCATCAATCTCAACGTCGACCGTGGCGTAGCCGGGTGGCAAATTCTCAAACTGAATAACCGGGTACAGTGACGTCTTGCCGGAACTGGTCGTACGCTCATCGCCCTGCCATTTACCTTGTTTGTCGAAGACGGCAAAGACGCTCATCCAGCCACTCACATGAGTTGCCTCAGGAGCGCAGCCTTCGTGGAAGCTGTGGTAGATCGTTTGCCAAAACGCCGTGTCGGGCTCGCCACGGGCCGCCGCCACAAACTGATCGAGGACGCCGCTGAGAAGGTCGACCCACGTCTGCATACGGTCGCCATACGCCCGAAAGTGCTCGATGCGCGACCGAATTTGCTGCCAGTCGTCGACCGAGCCGCGGAGCGTCACGGTTGGGATGCCACACGTGACTTCGAACCCGTACTTGAAGAACTTTTTCATCGTAGCCATCGTCAGAATGCTCGCTGTGATGCGGTCGTGGGGCGTGGTCGTCGTAAAGTTGGGTAGCAAGACGTCGGCGAGCGTCGGGTCCACCAAGTGCGCGCGCATCTCGTCGACCATACTCTTCGAAAAGGCGCCAAAGTCGACCGTGTCTACCGTGCCCGCCACTTTGACCTTGAGCTCGATCTTGCCTTCGCGGTGCTTGACAAGTAGGGACCGAATTTCTTCGCTGCTGCCGTCGACGTACACACCAAACTGGCTCGTGAGCGCAAGCCAAATGTCGTCAGGCCGCAGCACCAAGTGGAGGTGCTGGGCGTACGCCATGCTGACGCCATCGAGAAAGCCCGTCGTCGACGGAACGAGAGGCGTCATGACAGGCGAGTGCTGGTGCACGCGGCGGCTGCCAGCCTTGACGTACTCGGGCAGCCGGTTGAAGGCCGTCGTGTCGCGCAGGTACACGCGTCCGGAGAAGTTGCCCGGCGTCACGGGCGAGACGGCAAACGTGATGCTATTGATGTCTGCTGGCGTCGGTCGCATGGCATGCCACGTCATGGCGCAGACGACCACAAGGACAGCGAGCACACAGTGCATTCCGCCGGCGCGTTCAAAAATGGCATCTCTTTTTTGCGCAGGTGTGGGATTGGCCATCGTTATCCGGATGCGGTGTGATTGGCTGGAACTCACATCGCCAGGCAAGGCCGCGAGATGGATTCCTGTTGGCGCACCCTCGTCTATCTATCTATCTATCTATCTATCTATCTATCTATCTATCTATCTATCTATCTATCTATCTATCTATC